AATGAGATTATAGCATCTCACAGTTCATTAGAACCACTGTATTTAACTCACAGGATCTCTGCGGCAGGTACTGTTCGTCCTGGAGCCTGTACTTGCTGGACGTTAGCTGAGGCCACCCAAAGGGGACGCTGATCTGGTCCCAACCTCAGATGCATCAGCGCATTCAGCCCACTGCAGCACAGGGGGTCTCCTTACCATCCCCACCTCCTGTCCTCTTCATTCGCTTCTCTCTAAAAGGTAGAGAAGTTCCCCCTTTTCTGAAGGTCTGGTCTGTTGTGTGTGTGAAAGTGAGGCCACCACAGCAGAGCTGGGGCAACGTGTGTTTTAGATTTTCCATTATTTATAGATATGTGTGGATTAAAACATTACAATTGTTCCCATTTCACCAAATCCTAAGGGAGTACTCTGCTGATATCCGGCAAAAGAAGTTATCGTCCTCGTGCCTCTAAAGAGAAATATTCATTGATAGCTATATTTTCCTTAGGTTACAGATACTCCTAAAAATGTTTACAAAAAAATGTTTTTAGTATCATATCAGTTCAAATACTCTTTAAAACTCCAATATTTAGAGAAATTCACTGTTAATCATCTTTCTAAGGTGAATAATCACTTGTAATTTGTACATTTGGCTTAAAATGGAGTATGCTTTGTTGGGTTTGAACTTGAGCAATAAGTCTTTTTTCCTCCAATTTCGCCAACCAGAGAAGCCCCTCTTCCTCCATAGAGATAAGCAAATAACTAAGGTGAATAATCACTTGTAATTTGTACATTTGGCTTAAAATGGAGTATGCTTTGTTGGGTTTGAACTTGAGCAGTAAGTCTTTTTTCCTCCAATTTCGCCAACCAGAGAAGCCCCTCTTCCTCCATAGAGATAAGCAAATAACGTGGAAATAGGGACTTTCCTTCAGTACTTCTGAGAGAGAAGTTTCCACTTTGTAGGCAGAGGCAGGAATGTTTAGGAAGAAGGGAATTTTAGTTTCCTTCTCTATATATTTATATTGATTTTCTTGGCCCAAATGGTTGCTCTATTTAAAAGCTGTATCAGACAAATATCAAGCAATCTTAACGTTTCCCTTTCAGAAGAGGATCTTTATGCCTTTCATCATCCTAATTCTAATTTCATCCATTTCTTCAGCCTTCCTTCCTCTCGGCACATTTTTTGTTGTATCCAAGTTACTTGTTTGGGGGAAAGAGACTTTTGATGCTTACTCCCATCTCAGTCCCCTCTTTTTCCAGACACAGGAGGATAACATTTCCTGACCTTCTGATGAGGCCATGTGACTTAGCTCTGGCCATTATACTCCAATAAAGATGTTAAAAAAAAGAAAAAAAGTTAGCTCAAAAATCTCCAAAAAATAAAATAGATACAGAGGCCTGAGAGGAGCAAGGGCTATAAGAGAGCCTTCATAGGGCGAGTTTGTGACAAAATGTTGAGATGATTTACAAGTGGGGACAATATATACCTTGGGAGCAGCTGTCGTATGTCGGTTAGATATATATTTAGAGAGAGAGACAGATGGGAAAGAGGGTTTTCGGTTTTGGAATCTTCCTTTGCTGCGTTCTCAAAAGAAGGCAGTAAAGATATTAATTGCTGATCTATGATTATTGGACAAACAAGAACCATCTGATGTTTCTTTGAATGCAACCCTACACATAAGTGGGTCAAAGGGCTGGGCTGTACCCCCATCACTGAGAGATCTTCAGGGAGCAGTTGTTTTGCTGGCTCCAGCTCCCTCTGCCCCGGAAGCTTAGTGAGAGTCTAGGACTTGGTATCTGAGGGGCAGACTCTAAACCACATTTAGATTTGCCCCTTTTTTCTGACACTGATTGCCATCATTGGATCTTACTATATGTCTCCAGTCTCTCTTCCCTGAAAATCAGTTTTCCAAGGAGCCTTTTCCTTACTATTAAATAGATCTCCGTTTCTAGACCTTCCTATTAAATAGACTCCGAGGTCCCATCCAGAGGCTCCCAGAACCCACCAGAAACAGCCAAGTCAACCTAAATCCTCAAAACAGCTCAGGCTCAAGCTGAGATGACAGAACGCCTTTCTTTTACATTTTAAGATGATTTGTGCATTAAGGACAAGACTCTTAAAGGGTGTCGTTTTATTTTTTAATTTTTGGGGTCAAATGTGCATAGCACATAGTATTAATGATAGTGATAATAACACTAATAATAATAACAAGAGCCCAAAATTAACACCATGTGTCACCTGCCCTATGCCGGGAACTACATGTGAATCATCGCACTCAATCTCCACAGAAGCCTTGAGGTAAGCACTGCATTTATCCTCACTTTACAGCTGAAGAAAATGAGGCTGAGACAGACTCAGTTCTCCACAGCCACCCAGCTGGGGAGCAGCAGAAGGGAAACTTGAATCCAGGCCCATCTATGCTGTGCTGTCCAGATTAAGAATTGCTGGGCTTCCCTGGTGGCGCAGTGGTTGAGAGTCCGCCTGCCGATGCAGGGGACGCGGGTTCGTGGGTTTGTGCCCCGGTCCAGGAAGATCCCACATGCCGTGGAGCAGCTGGGCCCGTGAGCCATGGCCACTGGGCCTGCGCGTCCGGAGCCTGTGCTCCACAACGGGAGAGGCCACAACAGTGAGAGGCCCGCGTACCGCAAAAAAAAAAAAAAAAAATTCCTAATCATTCCATCCCCCAAAGAGAAAGCTGGCTGGAGCACCCCCCAAATCTGTACCTTTGCAAATGTGTTCAGCATCCATGAGAAATCAGGGCTGTGTTTCTGGGTGGCATGATTAGAAGGTGACCAGATCAACCCTTTGCTCAAGGGCCCTAACCCATGTGATAGGACTTCCACTTTCCTCTCAAGTGGTTCTGTACTTGAACAACTGCACTCAGACCCCGACCAGTGTCCGGATTCCTTCTCCACCCCACACCGGGGGGCAAGGTTCTCCCGCACCCGCAGCTCCTCAGCAGGGTGCCCTAAAACTAGCAAAGAGCTCCATGGGCTCAAACAGCTTCAAAACATTAGAAATAGAAGTTCATAAATATAACTTCAATTTCTTTGCACCGTGATGCCAAAGTGTTTATTGTTCTGCTATTGGAACTCAGAGTATCTTTTTCCTATTAAAGGCAACTTGAAGCACAGTGAGTAGGTTCCCAGTGCAGTCCACATAAATCTAACAAGGCCACAATGTTGTCAAAACAATGCTCGTTTACCATAAAGAGTTCAGGACAAAAAACTATCACAATACTAATAATTCTTTTAAAAAGAATAGAAACAAGATATAAGAAGGTTTGTATTTAGTAAAGTGTGTAGACTTGGGGAAAAGCACGTTTAGAGAAAAGAAGATTTACGATGGAAGATTTTGGAGATTCTAAAAGAGACTCTGGGTACTTCAGAGGCCGACAACACAGGTTCTTGTAATATCTAATTATATGTACATATTTTTAAGAGTTTTATTTCTTTTTTTTGGCCACACCACGTGGCTTGCAGGATCTTAGTTCCCCAACTAGGGATTGAACCCGGGCCCTCAGCAGTGAAAAGGGCGAGTCCCAACCACTGAACCACCAGGGAATTCCCTCTAATCATATTTTAAAGAGAAAAAAATTCTTCCTTTTCTCTGATACAGATTTGTTACCAGCTCTGACTCTTATCAATGATACTATTGATGATCTTATCAATGCACCGTGTGACACACAAATGAAGAGAAAAGAGACAGGAGAGTTTTTCTGGAGGGATCTGAGTTTAAAACAAAAGTAGAAGAGAAAAAAGACAGTGGAAGGGGATAGAGAGGTGAGTAGAGTTGCTTTTGATGAGCAGTTATCTGAGCTCTGAGTGTACCTGTGTGAGCAGCGCCCCTGGAAGGGAAGACAGAGGGTGACAGGTGAAGGGCTAGAGCTGGCAGTCCCCGCCCGGCACCCTGTGACCCCATCGGCTCCATACAGTGCGACTGCCAACTGGAGCAAAAGGATAAGTGTGTTTCGTGGAGGAGAGTAGAAGAGAAGGGGAACACAGTTAGAACTCCCTAGTGTCTGGAAGACAGTTCCCTTTAAGAAAAAGAAAGCAAGCCCTGATTTGTGTGTTCCTGCCAGTTGCCATGGTGTAAATACTCCCACCGTGGGCGATTTCAAGCTGCAGATGGTTTAACAACTGGCTCACAAAATTCCTGAATATTTAACCATCAGCTTCAACGAGCTGCTGCGAGGCAGCTGCGACACGCACTCTGGACTATGCGACTGACCTTCTATGTGTCCAGATGGCGGCCAGTCTACACAAGCACGCGCTGTTCTGTTCTGTGCTTGTGATGTTTTAATTATTTTGAAGGTTACTCATTAAAAACTGGCAGAATAGGGGCTTCCCTGGTGGCGCAGTGGTTGAGAGTCCGCCTGCCGATGCAGGGGACGTGGGTTCGTGCCCCGGTCCGGGAAGATCCCACATGCCGCGGAGCGGCTGGGCCCGTGAGCCATGGCCGCTGAGCCTGCGCGTCCGGAGCCTGTGCTCCGCAACGAGAGAGGCCACAACAGTGAGAGGCCCGCGTACCGCAAAACAAAAAAAACCAAAAAAAAAAGTACATCCTTGCCTAAAAGCCACCAGAAAGCAGGGGGCAGAAAACTGTTTGATCAGTCTAAATTTAAATTTAAAAATCATCACATAGCTGAATTCTTGGGACTATATTAAATTTTCTGATGACTCTTTCCTCTTTGAGTTTTTAAAGAGTGAAAGAAAAAATCACCCGTGATTTTTCTGGAACAATTAAAAAACTTTAAAAACCAAGGGCATGTTCTTAGCAAAAATTTAATGCATCTCCAAAGTGGATAAGAAATGGAAGAGAACATACCTATTCATCTCTTACTTTGTATGGTTCAGCTAATCACAGTATCGGAAGCGGGGCTTCTCAGACAAGTGCTGTAGGAAGTGCAAAGGTTTCTTCACACACACAGAGGCCAGCCCTGTGGAGTGGAGTGCCAGGAACACCCAGGGAGAGAGCAGCCTCTACTCCCAAAAGGAACAGGAGAAAGGAGTGGGGGCATCACCTTCCAGCACGTCCCTGCCTGTGTCCTGCCTACACAGTCACCATGATCTGATCCAGAGGTTTCCGTGCGAAGTCAGGCACCGTGGCCTCTTCGCTGGGGTACCCCACAGGGAGCAGTATTAGCAGCTTTTCATTTGCAGGGCGGTTCAGGAGCACCCTCAGACGGGGGCCACAGTTGAGAGGAGTGGTCGTGACAGTCACCAGTCCCGCGTTCTGTAACAGGAGAGGAAAAGAAAACGTTTTAAAGTCAGCAGGCAAAATCCCAGCCTGGGCATGTTCTAGTCCCTATATGATTTGCTTGTCCCATCACTTCCCTGAAGTTGGGCGGCAAAGAGACGACCAGCTTGGGCCATGGTGTCTTGAATCTTACCTGCCCTCCTGGACCTCCCCAGACCCCACCTTCTCTTAACCAAACAGTGGGAAGCTTCTCAGAGAAGAAAATACCAGTCATTTTTCACTGATGCTTAAGAAATGGGAATGGTTATTTCATGGAAAGAAATTTGGGGAATCCAACTACACCAAAGGAATGGAAAAACAAAAGGCAGTTCCTGTGGTTATATAACCAACAGTGGAAGCAGAGCGTCATCCCTAGCTGAAAATACCTATGTCGAGTGAGGGAGGACCTAGTGGCCCAGAGGTATGTAAGAGGTAGAGGAAATACTCCACCAACCTCTTCCCAGCCCCCTTGAATAATAAACATCCAATAAAAATCATGTGTAGCTTCAAGACACTTTCCCAGTTGGCCCTCTCTATCCCCCCTGCTTTTCCCGTCAGATGCTCATTGCTGAGCCTGGACCAGAAGGAGGTTCTGGAACTACCTTTGGGAGTCAAGCACGCCTCCAGTCTCTGTGCAATCTGCCCAGACAAGGGCTTCCAGAAGATTCCTTCCTCCTTCACAAATCAAGACCTACACTCAGACTTATGCCTTACAGAAAGCTAGAGGGCAGCAAATTCCACAGTATAGTGGGAAAAGTTGCTGATTGGAATGCACAGAAGCCACAGGTGAAGGGAACCCACGGCAAGCCTAAACTGCTTCTTCAGGAACCCTATCTATGACGGGGACGGTGCCCTGCGGTCTGACGTAGCACAGCAATTCCTTTATCTGTTACAGAGTCGGGAGGTAAATAGGATGCCAGCTCCTTTGGAACAGTTTTTCAAGTCATCTAAAAACATATTCCTCTTTTATGTCACAACGACTATTTTGCAAGTTTTCAGCAAACACATTTTTCTTTGAGGTAACGAAGAAGCACATAGTTTTTCGGAATCCACTGTCCCTTGAAAGTAGGCTCATTTGCTCTTATAATCCTGTTTGTTTTATTTATTTCACGTGTTTATTGTCACTCTCCACCCTCTCCCAGGACCGCAGTCCCCACCAGAACGTATAGTTCACGAGGTGACTATTCCTGGTGACTCCTGGGATCTGCCACATAGAAGGAGCTCAGAAAATATCTGTTGAGCGAATGACTTGAATCATGTGAAAGGCAGACCTCAATCCTGCTCTGTTTCACACTTAGCATGGCTGTAGCTACTATATAGATGGAATTTTTTTAAGCACAGGGACATCTTTCTAATGCAATACGATGTAAACTCAACTTCTGAGGACAGGAGCTCTATGATAGAGTTCCCCTTATAGCTACTGAATCATCCCACTGGCTCAGACAACAGTAAACACAGCTGAGAAGCCGGGCCCTGGAACTTTCAGGCTCTGAAGCTCTTCATGTGTATTTACTAAAGCCCTTAAAGCTTCATGTCGTTACAGATGAAGGCAAACACGGCGACCGTTTTTTGACCCTTAAATAATGTTATAAGTAAATTTCCAGGAAGGATGCCAGCTTGTTTGAAACATCATCCTCACCAGTCCAGGTTTCCAGAGGCAGTTTTTACATCAGAGTTCCCTTACTGAGGAATCCCTGTCCCTGAACTAGAAACTCAGCTGAAATAAAACCACAGTTGGCTCCCAAGTATTAAGTCTCTCTCTTGGGCCCAGTGGGAGGGTGACATACCTGCAGGGCAGCTAGGAGGACGCCACACGCGATGGAAACACTGATCTCGTTATAGTAGTGGATCTTTTTCTTGCCATTTGCAGCAAAACCGTGTACTCGTTTGAAAATGAGAATCAAAACAGGCGCTGTGTCCAAGTACTCCTTAATCCATTTGGTCCTAAAGGGGGAAAAAAAGATATTCAGAATATTTTCTCTTAATGGTTTTTTTATTCCCTGTTTACCACCTTATATACATTAAAAATAGAAACATTTCCTTGTCTTTTATGTTTAAATTGAAAAAGAGTAGGATTTTTGTTCACGTCTTGTTTACCTTTTTCTATCCCAAGTCTATCTATCCCAACAGGTATTAATAAGGGCCTAATATAGCAAGACACGTGAAATGCTGAAAGATACAAAGATAGATCCTATAACCCAGAGGGCAGTAAGCCAAATTTAGCAAACTAAAACCTGGTAAGTGTTGTTAAAGAAATATAAGACAAGGGCCTTAGGAGCCCAAAAATAAAATGGTAGTTTTGAATAAGATTGTCAGAATATTTCCAAAGTTTCTCTTGAGGCGGGGCACCGAAGACCAGCTAGAGAAGGGGCATTGGGAAGGGCAACCCAGGGAAGAGATGAGCAAAGGGCAGAGTCAGAAGGAGAATGCTTGGCCGGACAGGGAATTTCAGAAGGCTGGTAGGCTGGAGGATGGTGTGCGTGGTGGGGCACGGGTTGGGAGGCTTACAGTTTTCATACAGATTTTGCAGGGTCCTGGACTTTGTTCAGCGGGTGATGGAAAGTTATCACAAGCTTCTGAGCAGAAGCATCACGCAATGGGATCTGTTTCAGAAAGAGACGGATTGGTGTGGGCAAAGGACCAGCTCAAACGGGACCAGATAGGAGACAAGGGCAATGGCCCAGGAGAACTTGGGGAGTTGTAGAGGCAGGAGCTGACAGATCGGTACAGGAGTGCACAAGGGAGGAGAAAACGGTGACGGTGAGTTTGAACCGAAATTCCAGGTGGGCCGATGGTAACGTTCTTAGCCTAGTTATGGAGAAAAGGAAGGAAACTTTTGTGGGAGTGGGAGATAACTCACAGGAGGTATAAATGTTGAGTTTCCATTTTTATTTTCCAGATAAGAGCATATCTTTCTCTGTTTCATTACCCTGCCCGTACATTTTGGCAAACGCTTCACTCTAGCACAGATATTCAAAGGAAAGATACTCATACAATGCTATATATTGGAATTTTTCAATAAGCAAGAGATAGTCACCACTCATTTCATTCTTAGCTTAGTTACGCTTCCTTGTTTTAAAACACATTAAACCCACGTGTGTATTTTCTACAGTTCCTTGTACACTGCTAATTTCTATACATTACATTCTCAAAGCTACTTTACCGTACTTCAACCAGCTTATTCACATTTGACTAGTATCAATTCTTTTTCTCTTTACAAAGTGGGAGAATGTTAATAGTTTACAAAAAAAATCTGGAGTCAACTAACTTTGCCACGTTGGGCAACCACTCACCTTCTCACAGCTCAGTGCCCTCAAATGTAAAATGTGCTATTGTACACTCACCTCAAATGGTTATTGTGACAGTAAAATCAGTCCAAATAGATCAAGTGCTTAGAATAGTACCTAGTACATAGTACCATGTATGTGTTAGCTAATATTATTATTATTACTACGTATTATTTTACAGTGCATAATTCAAAACAATTGTTAAATATGAGGTGAAGAATAAGCAATTTACTAGGCCAGAGGCAGGTTAGTAATTTTTATTAATCTTTGTACTTATTTTGCCTAGGCATACATTGGTAGCTAGTATTTTGGGCTTGTTCAATTTTACAAGAATGTATCGTGACATCATATTAGAGCTCATAAAAAGATAGCAACGTGCCGAGGCCTGTTAAGAAAGGATAATTAGCACCTTCCACCTGGGGTGAAGGGTCTCACGCCAGCAGCAGGAGAAGAAGGCTTGACGGGGAGGTTGGACCAGATTGTATATCAAGCCTTTAATGACAGCTATGAGTTTCAGAGTTGACTCAAACTGGCTATCAGGACATATGTTCATTTGTGATGCAATTTAACAAACAGTTATTTAATTACCTACTATGCAACAGCGCTGTGCTAGGTGCTACAATATAAGACTTTTTTAAACTGGAGGTCCCTGGACCCTAGAGACACTATATATATATGTATATGTATATGTATGTATATGTATATCTCTGTGTGTGTGTGTGTGCACGCATATTGTCTGCAGAGAAAGTCTATAATGTTAATTGGATTCTCAAGAGTATCTTGGTATACCACAAAGCTTTCTAAAATATGGCCTATAAAATGAGAAGAAAAGTAGGCCAATAATTAAATAACTCTGTCATAATGGCTATTTTAAATACGCGGAAGGTGTGTATTAGGTGCTTTGAGCGCAGAGACAAGAGAGCAACTGATGCCGCCTTCTTTGGGGAGTGACGGGGCTGGCAGCGTGCACACACAGAGCACAGCATCTCTCCAAGAAGAGAGACTCAACTTTACCCATCCGTTTTTTCTCATGAATATGCAATGAGATTTATATATTCATCATTAATATCCTGCACTTATTCCACAACACAGCCATAAGTTACAACGCCAATAGACATCAATTTCAATAGGGTTTAAATATCTCAGGAAAAAAATTGTCCTCTGGGGCAAATAAATGAGACAGGAGTAGGACTAAGAGGCCATCCTTCTCACCACCCAGCCCTGGCTACCGGAGAAGAAGTCCCACTTTACCCCACAAGACGGAGATCCCACTGCATTTTCTTAGGCTTGTGTCACAGTGGGTATTGGATGGCTGGTGCTGGAACTGGCCGCTAAAGGCCCAGAGCTGAGAGCCAGAGGCACGAGTACCTCTACATTCTATGTGCCAAGAACTCGAGCTGGCTTCCCCTCAGGGCCTTCTGAGAGGTCAGGACAAATATCTGTGCCCCATCCCTCCTCACGCTCAGCCTGAGAAGGGGTTAGAAGGGAAAGGAGATGCCTCTGTGGGGAGGGCAGTATTTGTAAAGAGGACTCTGTGACCAGCGTTTTAAAATGACAAGGCTGAGCCTGAAAAAATTGAAAGTGACTGTGTTAACTACAAAAATGACTGAGAAATTATGGAATCCATCCTAGATATTATGTAGGGTGACTGGTCCTCAATGGGAAAAGTGGGATTAACAAGCATAGTTAGTTGTAGTTTCCAGGAAAAAAATGAAACCTCGCACATGTCTACCGAAATATGCTGAAGTTTCATGGTAAAGCCAGTTACACTGAATTCCAATCCGCTTCTTCCCTGGAGATAAGGAAGCCTGCAAAGTTACTAATGCCTAATGAATATTATGCCTCTACTAAATTTGTACTTTTACTAAACATGTACTAAGATGAAAGCCTGATGAGTGAGATCATGCACAAGACTATTTATAGGAAAATGTAATTTACGTCACTCAAGATCCTGAGAAGTATTTCACAATTTACTAATAATTATTTGGGTCATAGCCTATTTATTTACCGGATTCATATGGCCCTTACTATGTGCCATCACTGTTCTAAGTGCTTACAAATTCATCTAATTTTCATAATGAAGTAGATACTAGACTTATTCCCATTTTACAGATGAGGAAACTGAGGCACAGATAGGTTAATAAGTGGTAGACCTCATATTTGAACCCAAGCACTCTAGCTTCTAAGGCCCTACTCTTAGCCTCTATCTTATTTAATCCTGATACCAAGTTTTTAACATTATCGTTTTGGGTGAGAAAACAGAAGTGTGATGGTTGATTTTATGTGTCAACTTGACTGGGCCACAAGGCACCCAGATAACTGGTTAAACATTATTCTGGGTGTGTCTGTGAGGATGTTTCTGGATGAGATTAACATGTGAATTGGCAGACGGAGTAAAGCAAATTGCCCTCCTCAACGTAGGTGGGCCTCATCTAAACCGTTGAAGCCCTGAATAGAACAAAACAGGTGGAGTAAGGGAGAATTTTCTCCGTCTACCTGACTGTCTTTAAGCTGGGACATCAGTCTTCTCCTGCCTTTGGACTCAGACTTGGACTGCAACTTACACATTGGTTTTCCTGGTTCCTAGGCCTTTGGACTCAGATTGGAACTATTCCATTGACTCTGCTGGGTCTTGGGACTTCTCAGCCTCCATAATCACTTGAGCCCATGATTTATAATAAATCTCTTTCTCTCTATGTTTCTCTCTATCTCTCTGTGTGTCTCTCTCTCTTCATTGATTCTGTTTCTCTGGAGAAACCAGACTAGTGCACTTAGAGGGAGTAAGCAAATGCCTAAGGTCTTGCAACTGGAAAGCCAGAGCTAAGATGTGAACCCAGATGGGATTCCAGTCGGCATCCCTCACCCCTGTGCAATACGTGTGCTCAAGGCAATTCAGCGGTGAGGCCTCAGTTAATTTCCATTATTTCTTCCACAGGTAAAATGAAACTTTTTAACACCTAAAACAAAACCAGAAAACTGAAGTCATAGTTATTTCATTTTAGGAAGCCAAACCAAACAAGCCTAATTCTACCCACTTTTGTACCTCAGTTTCTTCAGGTCTGAAACCCATTGAGGTCCCATCCTCTTCAAGTAGTTTATTTCCTCTTCCTCCTCAACGATCTCCCGAATCTTATGCTTCACGTCTGGGTCCTTCACAACCACAAAGGTCCAGGGCTCTGTGTGGGCCCCACTTGGGGCTGTTCCTATCACCCATTAAATTAAAATCAGAAATTAAAACTGCAAGAAAAATCTGAGTCTGTTAATTAAGAATAAACGTAACTCATAGTTGCTCAAAATGAAGTTAGATCACCTGACACACAAAATGCCTGGCGGTAGCCTCTGGGATGTTGCTGCCAGGCCCATTTTGTTCAGCATCTCTGTCAGGGTCTCCAAACCAACTAACTGAGATCAAAGCCAGTAGCTCCTAGGTTTGGGGAATTTATCACCGCTTCTCTAATCATATGGGAGAAAACACCCCTAGGTACTACTCTGTGACCAATGAGGGGACACAGATGGGAAGCTCTGACGGCCAAAAGCCTGCAAAACGCTGTTTGTTTTGATATTCTTGAAAAATGATCAAGTCAGGAAGTTTATTGGAAATGGCAACATTTAAATGGCAAATGGTTTCAAAAGGATCTCCAAAAGGCAACTGAACTATAAATTGTTTAGTGCCTATATCAAAGCTCTGAGTGTGGCACTGTGGGGTTTGTGGCCCTGTTGTGAACACATGAGAACTCTTGGCTCTGGGCACTCAGACACACAGCAGAGTGTCTTCCAGCTCTCACAGGTTTTGGGAAACCTCAGCCCACCCTTGGATCAGTCCCAATATCCCGGACAAAGCTTCATAGTGCATCATGGAACCCAAGGAGCTTAAGTTCCCTTTAAGATTCCAGCCAGCAGCAGTTCCCTGGTGGTCCCGTCGGTAAGACCCTGTGCTCCCAATGCAGGTGGGTTCGATCCCTAGTAGGGGAACTAGATCCGACATGCATGCTGCAACTAAGAGTTCACATGCCACAACTAAAGATCCCACATGCCACAACTAAGACCTGGCACAGCCAAAATAAATAAATAAATAAATATTTTTTAAAAAAAGATTCCAGTCATGGGCTGGCCCAGCTCCTGATCTGGGTGTCACCCCTCTGTCCTAGAAATGGCTGTTTCTAGAAGTAGACCACGGTGACCCACTGGTGGTATGTTTCAGAAGCAAGTATTTCTTTCTTCCTAGTGAGTAGTTCAATGGCATAAACTCTACAGGAGGGGTCTCAGGCCTGCCAGCCTTGATGAGTTTTTCATCCACCAGTCCCCGTGGTAGAGAGGGTATGATTGAACTGTGAAATACAAGTCAAATCTAAACATAAAGCCCAAATTTCTGAACAGAGGGATTCCAGTTCACTTTGTACACGTCATCTGTTCACTAAATATTGGTGTCACCAAACACAAGAAATAAATTGCCCCTTAATGTTTTCAATTATGCCAAACCTCTCTGAATGTCATATGCACACACCCACATATTTAGATACAGATGTATACACAGAAGAAATTTAGTAACTGCTATTAGTTAGATAAAGGACTCTCCAATCTAGTGTATTTGTGTTCTTAACTGAAATGAACTGTATTATTCTTACTTCCTTTTAATTTGGGCAATGGGTTTATAATAGTCATGCAATAATTTCTGCAAATGAACTTAAATGTGATTTATATAGGAATTAGAATCCAATCAGAGGAGACTCTCAAATAGGGGGCTTTCTCATATCTCCTCTCCCTTTTTCTATAATTCTTATCTATTCCTCTGGGAATAGATATTAATTTACATTGAAAATGCATTTGAGGGACTTCCCTGGTGGTCCAGGGGTTAAGAATCCGCCTTCCAATGCAGGGGATGTGGGTTTGATCCCTGGTCATGGAACTAAGATCCCATATGCTGTGGGGCAACTAAGCCCGCGTGCTGCAACTACTGAGCCCCAGTGCCACAACTGAGCCCACTCACGGCAACAAAATATTTTGCACCCTGCAATGAAGATCCCGTGAGCTGCAACTAAGACCCAAAGCAGACAAATAAGTAAATAAATAAAAAGCAAAAGAGGGGGGAAAATGTTTGCCTTGCTTTGATTTACTTTGCGAATTCACATGAGTAAATTTTGCTAGTTCATTACAATACAGTACTAGAGCATCATGGTGTGTAATATAAGAAATTCGGTTCCCAAAAGAGAAATGTATAAATGTGAGTGAGTGAGTGTGTGTGTGTGTGTGTGTGTGTGTGTGTGTGTGTGTTTTAAGAGGAGGCGAAAGTAAGGATGTTTCTTTTCTGATGTATAATAATGTGTTCAGAAATTTTCATTCTTCAAAAATTTTATAATGTTGAATAATTTCAGAAGCTTTGAACTGTTGTCACATCTGCTCCCGAGAAGTCTGTAATAGTTAAAAATTTGTAGAGGGCTTCCTTGGTGGCACAGTGGTTGAGAGTCCACCTGCCGATGCAGGGGACACGGGTTCGTGCCCCGGTCCGGGAGGATCCCACGTGCCACAGAGCGGCTGGGCCCGTGAGCCATGGCCACTGAGCCTGCGCATCCGGAGCCTGTGCTCCGCAACGGGAGAGGCCACAACAGTGAGAGGCCTGCGTACCGCAGAAAAAAAAAAAAAAGTTTGTAGAAAGTGGAAATCGTCTTGTGCCTGGCAGTCAGTCAACACCTGGGTAAGACTTTACAGGTAAACGTATCATTCCAGGCTTTATTCCCTGTGTTTGAACTTCAACATTGCTCCACTATTGTCACTTGCAGCGGATGTTCTCAAAGACCCACTGTGCACTTACAGACCTGCTGCTTTGATGACATTATCAATCACTTCCATTGGGACTTGCTCATTACTTATGAATCTAACAGACCGTCTCTTATTGAGAAGTTCATAAAATTCCTGGGATCTCTTAAGCATTTCCTTCTCAGGATACCGGGTGTGGGAGAATGGGATGTGTTCCACCTCTTCCTCTGACACTTGCCAGTCGTCAGCGTCTGCCAGTAAGAACAAGGTAGACAGCAAATTAGAGGATCTCTCTTGGTCGTGAAGGGGAGTGCAATATGCCCCTCCCCCAAAATATGTGCCTTTAGCATAAGAATTGTTTTGAGTTGACTATTTTTAGGAAACACAGACACAGGAGAAGTTCTGAAAACCCGAGTAGAAGGCACCCTTTTGTAAGAGACATTTACATTAAGGAAATCTCTATTTGGAAGTGTTTCCCCCTCTGTACCAGGAAGAGAAGGATGATTCTAAATCACAAGAAACTCTTGTCAACAGAGGTGTGGACTTAAATCTCTGTAACAATCTTACCCTTGTTTGCTCTGCTTTTCCTGACAACCTCCCCTAACTGGGTCTCCCCAGTCCCCAATGCCTTTCTTCTGTCTTTATCTGAAGATGGATTAAGGTGGTGGCTAAGGCTGTTTGGGGGAGTTACTCAGTTTTCCTGGGTCTCTCCCATGTACACAAGAGATATACATGTTATTAAACTTCTGTTTGTTTTTCTCTTGTTAATCTGTTTTTATTATGGGGGAGTGGTGATCTCAGCCAGAGAAAATTGTTTTACTCCCTTATAGTCACAAGGTGGTCACTGGGGAGAAGGAAATAAAGTTCTCAAAATATCTGTAAGGTTATAAGCTCAAAAACATCAAGAAAAAATGAGAAAAATAGGTCTACAGAATCCTTAAACTCTGATCTTGACTGTCCTTCAAAGCCCAGACTGGTTATAAATCAAGAAAAAGAAAACTTTTACGTACATAAAGATGAAAAATGTAAATTTCTGTTAATGGTGAACTAACTTATTTGAAACAATCTCCGTTGGCTGAAAACCGCTAAGATCTTTTTTTTTTTTTTTTGGCCAGATCTTAGTTCCCCGAACTCATGCCCCCTGCAGTGGAAACATGGAGTCTTAACCACTGGACCACCAGGGAAGTCCCCTGAAAACCACTAAGATCTTGAAATAAATAATTTTTTATAAAGCCGTTTTAAAATCATTAAGTTACTGACAGCATAGTAAGAAATTCCCAGGCCAAAAGTGAAGGGAAAATATGATCCTGCGGAGGTAAATAAGCACAGAAGCTGCATTTGCCCTGATAACATCTGCCAATCCCAATATATTTGAATTTTTATTTTTATATTTTCAGGGATCCAGAGGGACAGAAATCAAAGCCCAGGTCCATATATGATAAGAAGTCTAACAAGCTGGGACCCCAAGACTACATCCTTAGAAAAACTAAGAATCATAAATAAATCAGGGACTTTCCTGGTGGTCCAGTGGTTAAGACTGCACTTACATTTCAGGGGACATGGGTTCCATCCCTGGTCAGGGAACTAATGATCACTCATGCTGCATGGCACGGCCATAAATAAATCAATCAGCCCCCAAGAGTTTATAACATTTTGATGGGTCCTGCCTCAAACTTGAACTTGGAATAGTGTGGTCCTGCCTGAAAATACCCCCATTACCCAGCAGAAGCAAATGCCAACATATAAATAATTTTAAGTAAAATTACCAGCAACACATAAAAGACAACCAGACACACAAAAAGAATATCTTGAGCAAGAAACAGCAGAATAGGTTTTTAAAAATAGAGTCAGACACCAAATTCTCCAAATATTGGAATTATCAGACTCAAAAGATAAAACAACTATGATTACTAGGTTTAGAGGGGAAAAAGAAAAGACAAACGTATATAAATCTGTAGGGTACAGGAAAAGATGAAAAGTGACACAGAGCATATTTTAAAATAGAACTTTTAGAACTGAAAAATAAAATAATAGAATTAAGAACTTGGTGGGTGGGTTTAATAGCAGGTTAGACATACCTAAAGAAAGAATTAATGAACTGAAGACAACTCAGAAGAAAATCTCTAGACTAGAGCAAGGAAAGACCAAAAGACAGAAAACATAAAAGAACGATCAAGAAAAAATAAAGCAGAGCGAGAATGTTCTAATATATGTCATGATAGTGACAGCAGGAGATGCGAAAGAGGATGGGGCAGAGACCATATTTGAAAGAGAATATCTGATACGAAAACCTGATGAAAAATGCCAGATCTACAGCTTCAAGAGGCCCAGTAAATCCCACGCAGTATAACAGAAAAGAAGCCCGCGCCTTTTATAATCAAATATAAAATCTTAAAATCAGCCAGAGGAAAAAGAAAGATTCCCTTAGGAAGAGGCCCGGATGGCTTCATGAGGGAGTTCCACCAAACACTCACAGAACAATTATTGCTAACTTTTCTCCAACTCTTCCCAAGAATAGAAATAGGGGACACATCGGCCGCCCACTCATTCTATAAGACTAGCGCACACTTGCTACCAAGCCTGACTAGGACATTAAAAGAAAGAAAAGCTACAGGCTCAACTTTCTCATAAATATAGATGCAGAAAGTCCTAACCAAAATATTAGTAAACAGAATTCAACAATATATAAAAAAACAATACACTTCGGCCAAGTTGGGATTACCCCAGGAATACAAGGTTAACTCAACATGAGAAAAGCAATGTTGTTTGTTACATTCACAAGCTAATAATCGCTGTAATGCAGACAAGGTGTCTGATAAAATTTGGCATTCATCTCTTAGTAAATTGGGGTAGAAAGGAACTTTCTTAACCTGATAAAGTCTAACTATGGGGGAAAACACCAAAACAATCCAGAACCAACTACATAGTTAGTGGTGAAACATTGAAACTCTTCCATCAGATATTGAAAATTAATGAATATTGCCTGTTCTCACCACAGTTCTAATTATGAAAGACTAATTTTTGAAGCTTTTAGAAAAGAATATAGGAGACTATATTCATGACCCTGTAGAGAAGAAGGATTTCTTAAACAAGATACAAAAATATTAACCATAAGAAAAAAATCTGTTCAATTTACCTACAGCAAAGTTACCTTTACACCTGCCTGCTTCTGCCACTTCTGGTTTCCCCCATTTCCTTCCTGTTCAGAGAGCTGTGGAAACCCATCATCTGTAGCTCAAGATCTTACAGAAGATGAAGATGCAATGGAGGATTCAATAGGTGAAGCTGAAGCTCTACCTCTGAATATGCATGTTTCTTCATTCCTTTCAAACCCATGAGCAGACAATACTTTCGATCTGAACTACAAAGATTTAAATGTGAACTACAAAGGTTTCAACTGAAATTCTGAGATGCTGTATTCAAAAAGTTAAAAAGTGTTAAAAATAGGAATGCTTTGAATGGAGTGTGTGTGTGTATATATATATATATATATATATATACTCCTTGCTTATCTTGAATTAGCCTTGGATTTCTGAATGTTGTTGGACTTCATCAACTCCCAGCATCTAGGAGGCAAAAGATACCAAAGAGGCTACTACAGAAAGTGGACCTCGGTACATCAAACCAGAATGAGTTGAGGTGAGTTGGACTTTTCAGGGAATTTTAATCACATAAATAAGGTTTCACCAAGAAGTCTGCCCAAGAAATAGACACTGAAAATATCAGTGGAGTCTAATGAGTAGATGGTTCTTCTACACAGAGGCTGAAGACTTTCCTAAATCTGCTCTGATGTTTTTCAGCCTGACGGGGACCGGTGCAGAGAAGCCATATCACCAGGAGGAGGCAACTCCTACTTAGATAAGAACAGATCATCAGAGTCCGCGATGATAAAACTGCTGAAAATGCCCAGCACTTAACTTTCATTAAAGTAACAAATTTAGATTGTTTTAAACCATTAAGGTTTATTTGTGTGCATGTGTATGCCTTACCTGAATTATTATTGTACCACCTAAACTGTGTCTTTAGAAAACTGAATGTAATGCTATCACATATCTTCATCATTCACAACCACCCAAAAGCCAATGAATATTTGCCTGATATAATGTATATCCCATGCCTTCCACTGTGTGATAGAAAATAATTAGTTGTTACTTCCTTCTTTGAGTAGGTACAAATCCACTTTGATGCCATAGATTAACTGATGCTTTGGTTATGATTCTGATTCTTGTGACATTTACTAAAGGATTTTCACTTCCAGTAATGGCTATTTACATAATTTACACCAAACCTCCAAAGTAAAGAAAGCTAAAATCCTTAGTAAAATACATTTAGAACATTTTCTTCTAAGTACTGAAGAGCTAATCTGTGACTGTAGAACATGACAGTCAAAATCCGGGTGAAGGTTAGTACCCACAGGGGTAGATTGGCACTCAAATGTCCAGAGAATATTTTCCAATTACCTAGAAGCCGCCATGAGGCTGAGCTGAGATAAAAGGATGGTGACCAAAGTCAAACCCCCAGGGCCATCCAGGGCCTGAAGATTTATGTTACAATAGTAAGAGTAAAATGTAAGTAATCCAGCCCTGGTGCCTTAGAGCCTAAGGTAATATCCTGTGAGTGATCCAGGGAACCGTAAGCCTTGAGCTCAGATTAAAGTTGCCCCAGAATGTTAGAATGTTGCTCTTCTGATAGGTGAAAATATGAATATTCCCTGGAATAAGTAACAGTATCCTAGACCTCAAAAAAATTTATATGTAATTTTCCAATAGAATGACCAGCAAAGAAGTAATTCCCATAAAATTCAAAATAATAGTTACTTCTATAGGGTATGGAAGAGGTTGTTACTGGGAAGGAACATATAGGGGTTTATGGAGTATTGGAAATTTATATTTCTTGATCTAAGTGATAACTATATAGATTTTTACTTTAAAATTATTTGTTAAGCCATTCATCTATCTTTTATACACTTTTCTAGTAAGCATATTACATTTCACAATTAAGGGTTTTTTTTTTTTAATGAGAAGGCCATAGAAGCGCATTACCAAAAACACCCACAAGGGTAGTTCAACTGACTACAACTGTTATATTGATTTAAGGACATCTGAAAAAAAAAAAGAAAAGACACTTGACACTTTTCTTTTTTTTTTTGCGGTACACGGGCCTCTCACTGTTGCAGCCTCTCCAGTTGCAGAGCACAGGCTCCGGTTGCGCAGGCTCAGCGGCCCAGCCGCTCTGCAGCATGCGGGATCTT